CCCCCTGCTCTGGCTGCTTTTACTGGCTGGGCGCAGGCCGGTGGGTCCCTGCTGTGAAAACCAATCCCTGTGCATGTCGGTGCCTCGGGGCTACACCAGGCCCCCGGGGGCCCAGGCCTGCCCCCCTCTCGTCACATCGGAGCAGCCAGGGGAGGGGCCGATTCTGCAGTGCCAGGCTCAGATTGCCCCTTGTCAGACTCTCTCACCCTCACGCCCCCCACTTAGAGCAGCTGGTAGCCCCCCAAACACACAGGGCAGGGAAGTGCATTTATTTTCCTTGCAGCTAATCGAGCACCCCAGGCCTCCTCCGCCGTCCCTTTAACAACAGCTTGGCCCCACGGGGGAACCGCGAGCCCTTGGGGGAGAGGTTTATTGCACAACGCTACGGCCCGGGCAGTGCTGTGCTTGCCCCCGGCGCCGATCAGCCCTGGGGGCCAGAGGTGTCCTCACACCAGCTTGTTTTGGATGGCTCCCAGCTCGTCGATTTCACACTGGACCACGTCTCCTCTCTGCAAGGGGCCAAGCAATGTAAGGGTGCCCGGAGCACTGCCCTGCCCCATCCCCCAACACTCCTCCCCCCTCGCGTTCGAGCCCTGGGGCCCCCAGCACAGGTGGGCCCTGTGCCCCCTTTAAGCCCTCTTGGGCCTAGCATAGAGGACCTGTGGCCACCCCGCTCCCTCTGAAACCCTGGCACTGTGACGGGCGCCCCAGGCAGGGCTGTTTGATTATAACCAAGGGCCCAAAGCTGAGGGAAAACAGGCAGGTGCCCGTCTGGGCCCTGCTGCAGCCAATAGCAGTGCAGCCGTGTACCTGCCTGGCCCTGATGAGCGCCCCCTAGTGGCTGTAGGGAAGAACACAGCACTCACTCCAGGAACAAGGAGAGGCCAGAGCTGTCGCACTCTTCTGCAGTTCCAGCTGCTCAGGCAAGCCCTTGCGTCTGCACCGAGCCCCACTGCCTGTGGGGGTACCTGACCCCCCCCAGCTCCCTCTTGTCCCTACCCAGTGCTGGGCCCAGCCGTGCGGTAGGGAGGCCAGATCTCCAGGCCCCCCCTTACTGCCAACTCCCAAGGGGGAGCTGCAATTTCTCCAGCGCTGCTGCTCACCTTCAGGAAGACGGGGGACTTCCGGCTAAAGCCAACCCCCGGAGGGGTCCCGGTGAGGACGACGTCTCCCGGGTACAGCGTGCTGAACCTGCCATGAAGCAGGACCAGCCCGTGAGTGTGGCCTCCCAGCTCCACGCCCCCACTGCAGCTGGGGATCGGGCAGGGTTCCCTGAACGCGCCCACCCACCTAGCTAGGAGGGCTGTGGCCTGCTTCCCGCCGTGGGGCTGCGACTCCCCCAGGCACGGAGCAGTGTGGCTGGCTGGGGGAACG